CCTGGGCTCTGACTGGCCTGCGGCTCCGCGCGCTGCTGAGCCACGCATGTTGGCGCACCTCATCTGTCAACGTGCGCATCCAATTGGCTCATTCTTGCTGCGGCAGGTGCTCCACAATGATGTCGCATCCTGGTCTGCAACGCGCGCATCGCGCGCGTCGCGTGCGCGATGCAAGCTGCCTCTGGCTCAACAGCGCGCGTTTGCCGTCGGCGGGGATCCACCGCTTCGCCGGGTCGTCCATCGCATCCTGGATGTCCCTGGTGATGCCCTGGGCCGCCTCGAGGGCTGGGTCCAGCGCTGGAATCAGCTTCCAGTCGTGTGCTCTTTCCCGTTGTCTCCTCCTGCGCTGTGCGGAAGAGGGGGGGGCCTCGCTCGCATCCGCAGGGGGCCTTGCGGCAGCGTCCTTCGCCTGGTCAGCTTGAACGACGGTCCCGCGATCACGCGCGGGCGCCTTGCTAGACTGCCTGCCTGCCGGCCCTTCGGTGCTTCGCTTCTCTGTCGAGTGAGTCTCGCTCGAGTGGCCTCCCCTCGTGGGTCTGATTGCTGCGCGCGGCGACTGCGTTCCTGAGGTGTTCCCCTCCTGGGGGGCTTCCTCAGGGCGTTGTTCAGCTCCACTTGGCGACGCTGGGCCTGAGGTATTCCCCTGCCTGCGGGCTTTCTCAGGTAGTTGCGCTCTGATTCTCGCGATGTCCTTGTTCTCTCGTCGGTGGCCGCGGTGGCGTTGCTGGGCTGCGTTGCGCAGTTCATGGTGGTGGCGCTGGACTCCGTCGTGCTTCTGGCTATGGCACTGCTGGTGACTGTCGTGTCGCGCACGGTGCTCGCGATGGTGGTGCTGGAGTCCGTCATGCGGCTCGCCGCCGTGCTGCTGGGGTCCGTCATGCTGCTCACGATGGTGTTCCTGGAATCCGTCATGCTGCTCGCTTTCGTGCTGGTGAACACCGTCTTGCCGTCTATGATTGTGCTGCTGGAGCCCGCCATGCTTCCCGCGGTCCTTGTGCTGGAGTCCGTCGTGCCGCTCGCCAACGTGCCTCTGGAGTCCGTCACGTTGCGCAAGGTCGTGTTGCTGGAGTCCATCGTGCTGCTCACGATGGCGCTGCTGGTGTCCGTCGTGCTGCTCGCGTTCGCGCTGATGGAGTCCGCCGTGCTGCTCGCGAGGACGATGATGGAGCCCGTGATGCTGCGCAAGGTCGTGCTGCTGGACTCTACCGCGGTGCTCGCGATGGCTCTGCAGGAGTCTGGCATGCTGCTCCCAGTCGTGCTCCTGGTCTGCCATGCTGCTCACGGTGGTGCTGCTGGAGTCCATCATGCTGCTCACGGTCGGGCTGGTGGAGTCCGTCTTGCTGCACAATGGTGTTGCTGCAGTCCTACCTGCTGCTCGAAATTGTGCGTCTTAGGACCGTCGTGTTGTTCGCGGTGCAGCGGCTGGGCTCCGTCATGCTGTCGTGCTGCCGGTGATCGTGCTGCTGGGGTCCGCCATGCTGCTCGCGGGGGCGCTGCTGGAATCTGTCATGCTGCTTGCGATGGTGCTGCTTGGATCCGTCGCTCTGCTCGCGGTCGCTCTGCTGGGGCCCGCCGCGCTGCTCGCGCTGGCGTTGCCGAAATCCGTCGCGTCTCTCGCGGTCGCGCTGCTGGAGGCCGTCGTACTCTACCTCCAAATTGAACTTCGTGGTCTGTGCGTCTACTTCTGTGCTAGCTGCTCGGCCGTGCGAGCCTCTGCTGCCGTCGCTGCCTTCTCCAATGTTTCCTGCGGTCTGCTCCTCATAGGTGTCCGCCTCCTCGGTGTCCGCCTGAGGGTCGGGCTCGCTGCCCGCTGGGTCTTATCCGTCGACTGCGCCGACGTCCTCTGATCGCGGCGCCTTTGCGCCTTCCTCATCCTGGCTGGCCGAAGCTGTCGCCCCTCAGGATTCGATCCGGCAGGTGCGGCACGTGGCGGAGGTCTTCTCTCCATCTGCGCTGTGCTGGCATGTTCCACAACCGTAATTCATGTTCTCCGATGTGTGTGTGTGTGTGTGCGTAGTTGGACGTGCTGGTCGCTGTGCCTCAGCGCCGCTCTGGGGCCCGTGGTTTGCCAGAGGTGAAACAGCCCCCTTGCGCGTGCTCGTCGATGATGTTATCCTTTCCACCGCGCCGCCACGCAGATGTGCATGGCCAGGTTGCGCACGGTCTTGTCGCGCGCTCCGCAGAGAATTGTCCGATTCTTGTTTGGGCCAGCACGGCTTGCATGTATGATGTGCACCAGTCGATCCATTCATCTTCATTGTGGATTCCTTCTTCGCCCACGCTTTGCATCCACGACTGGCCCCATCCTGCGATGACCCTCTGGATGTCGTCCAACTCTCGCCTGGTTGATGCCTCCGCTGGGTCGTCCGTGCGGGTCCCCACTTCACTGCTTTGGAACTCGCCCTCTACCTCGGTGAATACTGCAAGTCCAAGTCCCTCGCCGCCCTGGCCCGTGTCTTCGGGTCGCAAAGAAGCGGCGTACTTCCACTTGCACACATACCTGTACATATGTATGTATGCATGCATGTATCTATATATATATACATATATATTTATAGGTCCGTAGTGTTGTATCCTCATCGGCAGCCCGTTTGCGTGTTTCTCTTGGTTGTTGCCGGCGGTCCTGCTTCGCCTCCCCATCAGGTTGATCATCCTCAGGAGTTGTGTCACCTATTGTCATGTTTCCTTTCACGTTCGGCGCCCCACTGAAAACGCTGCCCGTTGCTGCTGTCCGTATATTGCCATTCTCCGTGCGCCCCCCTATTTGACGATGGGTTGCTCGCTTTCGTCTAGCTTGGCTGGGTACACATTGGCTCGTCTTCCATGTGCTGTGTGTTTGTTGCTGTTCGGTCCATCATCTTCGGCTTCTGCTCGCGCGACTCCTTCGCAGGACTCGGGTTGTCTTTGTGGTCTATGGGGTTGGTCTGGTATACTTCTGTGCTGATGCACTTTGCCCTCTGGCGTGCCTCCTCTGCGTCGGCGTCGGATCAAGCTGCTTTCTCGCGCGTGTCTGGGACGTCGTTTGTGGCCTCCTCCATGCTTGCTGGTTTGCCGCATCATGTATTCCAATCCTGGATGCCTCCACGTCCCTATTCGTTGGCGTGCGGGCGCCCTGGTCAACGCGCATCGGGCATTGTCCTTGCTTTTGTCATGGCCTGGTGGTCGTGCCGCAGCTGTGCCGTCTAGCCAGTGTGCTCGTCCCGGCTTGGGTGGTCTAGAATTGCGTAGGCGTGCCAGCTGGTGTCGGGCCGCGCCTGTCATCCATTTCGTGCATGGGTCTTTGAGTCGTTGACTCCTCTTGCGTCCGCTGGATGCCAGTGATCCCATCGCTCCGCGAGTCCAACGCCAGCATTGCCCATGCATGTGCCCGAGTTTGTGCGTGTGTGGTGTATGCCACTTCGCAGAATGAGCGGGTGTGCTCGGTCTTGGGGACCTGCGTGGCGTTGTCCTTGTGGTTGATGCACATTGGCATGGAGCTGCACTCGCGTTGCTGCCCAGTCCGTGGCTGCATACTTCCCATGCCCTTTGCCACATTCAAAACAAATCCATCTTCCGCCTGCGTTCCTATAAGTGGGGTGGCCTGTGGCGCCCCCTGGCTGCTGGCGGCGCGTGGACGCCTTGCCGTGGCTTCCTGCCTGGCGATGTCGCTGAGTTTTGGGTACCCCATTCTGGCAATGCGGGCCTCCAGCTTTCCGCGCCCGTCTGCGAATCTGCTTCAGGGCCTGCCATGCCGCTGCCGACTCCGCGGCGCCGATGGTCTGAGACCCGTCGACTCCTCCAAACCATCCTGGGTAGTCGTCGTTTCTCTAGTAGCCCGTGTCGTCGTCGAGGACTATAGCGATGCCCCATCCAGCGCGCGCGTTTGTCTGGCGTTGTGGCTGGACCATCGGAACAAACGAGTGCGGCTTTGATCGTTCCTCCGTCTTGCTCTGCGTCAGTTCGAAAACTCTCAATCGAACAGCGCTCTTCGGGGGGGCTCGCCCAAGCTGGCGGGGGACCCTCTGGGCGCATTTCTTCTGGTAGAATGTCTCTGGTCCAGAACGCCATCTCCTGCAGGTAGTGTTTCACCGCTTGGGTCCTGGATCTGAGGTCGGCCGCCTTCCCGATCCACTGGCGATCTTTCCAGCGTGGCTGGGCGCGCGTAGATGTGACGAATCTGCGTGTCGACTGCGCCCATGTGGCAACGGGTGCGCTTTGGCTGGACTTTGTAGCCCGCTGCGTCGCACCGCCTGGCATATTTAGTGCTTCAACTGTCCAGTGCCCTTCCACGCTCGTCTGGATTATCAGCTGATCCACCAGAAGGAGAATGCCACGGCGGCGAGGCACATGCTGAAGAAGGTTTCGCGCCAGCCCGAGACCGTGACCAATGGCGGGGGCAGCTGGTAAGCCAGATGGAAGATGCGGCGAAAAAGCCCAAATCCGAGCGGAACACCGTCAACGACGTGGGCCAGGGACCGCAGCAGCCGCAGCCAGCGAAGCGGCAACGCACATCGGCCGGGGGCCAGCAGGGCATCCAGCGAGTGCCATCCCATCCGCCTGCTGCTGCACCAGTAGGCCTGCTCGGCGGCATCGCGCCCCAACCTACAGCGACCTTCAGGCGCTGGGGGCCTTGCAGGCCACCGGAGGCGAAGGGCAGACGCGGCCGCTGGGAGGCCGCAGGAGGCGGCGAAGGCAGCTGCCAGCTGAGGCGGGGCCTCAGGTGAACGGAGGGTGGGCGCGTGTCGCGCGAGCGCATTGCTGCAGTGGGGTGCCCTCGGAACTGTGTCGGGGGGCGCGACGCGCGACCCGCCCCGAAGCAGCAGCCTGAGCAACGTTCTCTTCCTCCTCCTCCTCCTCCTCCTCCTCCTCCTCCTCCCCCTCCTCCTCCTCCTCCTCCTCCTCCTCCTCCTCCTCCTCCTCCTCCTCCTCCTCCTCCTCCTCCCTCCTTTATTTCCTCCTCCTCCTTCTTTTCCTCCTCCTCCTCCTCGTCCTACTCCCCCTTTGGGCGCGCAGACCGAGAGGAGGGCGCCACGCTGAACGAGTACACCCTCCGCAAGTTCTTCGGCCGCACCGGCCCACGTGCGCCGCGGCCCGGCTCCCGCTGACCAGCCGCCCGCGGTGGGCCTCCGAGCTACCGCCAGCGCCCACGAGGTCCGCCCTGCTGCTCTGGGCCTCCCAAATGGGGTCCGAGTAGACGGGGTCGGAGGATCGTGCCGCATCGCCAGTGCATCGCCGATGCGGCTCGATGTGAAGCCAGACTTTCGTCACGCCGACGGCGCCGATGCATCACCGACGACGCCGATGCATCGCCGATGCATCGACAATGCGGTGAGATCCTCCGACCCCATCTGGGAGGCCTCTTGCTGCGCCCCGCAAACTCCCTCGACTCATGGAAAAAGCACGGCAGAAGGTTTCTCGCTATGTTCGGCCGCTGTGGGCCCTTGCCAGGCCTTGAGACAATCAAAAAATCATTCGGGATGAAAAGCCGGTCCAGGGGAATGGGTCGAGATTTTTGGGGATCGACGTGATGAAAAAAATGATGACGTCGGGTGTTTGGGGCTGGGGGTCAGCCTTTTGGGGGGCCAGGACAGAGCTCTCGATTCGCGTCCTGTCGACCGGCAGGGACCCCACCTCCAGCATTCAACGTTGAACGCCGCCGGTGACCCAGAATCGGTCGATGTTGAAGGATCTGACCTTTCGGAAACGGCCGATCGTTGAAGGCTGAACGATCCCCGCAGTGTCATAAACCAACGCCGAAGTCATCACCACGCGAGCCTGCCGTAATGGGGGTCGTGCTTTTGGCGGTCAGGAAAGACTGAGCTCGATTTCTGGGATTTCCCTTGCTCGGGGCCGCAATGTTTCTATAAATCATGATTCGCGATTCCTGGGTAGCTCCTTTGGATGTCCTTCGCCCAGACCACTGTTTTTCTCATACGACTGTTGTTCCTTACTTCGCCGCTCGCTGACCTCCTACCCCCAGAAGTCTGACCCCCCTTAGCAGGCGAATGAGAAGCTGGCCGCTGAGCGAAGGCGTCGACGCCGGCGCGCGAGCCTCTGCGCTTTGATGGCGCTACAGGGGGAGCTGGCGCTGCGGGCGGAGGACTTCGAACGTCTTCGTCGGTTCTCTGTTATTTTCCAGGCTCGGGATGCCGTGCATCAGGGGCAACGACCGGGGAGATGGGCTCAAGGGGGGGACGCACCGACCCCGAATCGCCCACTGATCGCCGATAAGGGCCCGATAGCCCACCCCGCCCAGGACCGTGCTGGTTCGCCATCGCTGGCCTGTCGCTGATCCATCGGCGATCTGTCGCCACCGATCCCAGGTCGATGTTTTCCCCCTCTGAGCTGGTCCTCCCCAATCGCTGCCCCTGAGTGCCTTGCAGCGGCTGCGCCTCGCCGAGAGCCGTCCGATGGGTGCTCGGATCGTCCGACACGGCCGCGGGAGGCCCGAGCTGTGATCCGAAGAGCAGGCATGCTCGCGCCGTGAGGCAAAACCACGACGGGACCCTGAGTCGGAGGTCTGGGCGTTGCAGTCCTGTTCACGCTGGGCGTTTCCGTCCAGCCACGGGCCTGGGGACCATCACTGGCCGACCGGGCTCGGGAAACAGCGCAGCCAGATGTGGCTTGTGGCCCCGGCTCTGATTTTCCACCGTGCTGCAATCTTGCGACCGGGAACTCTGGTCAGCATGTCGCTCCACCGGTTCTGGCCCACCGCTCTTCGGCGCGACACGCCATCCACATCCCATGCCCCCAAGCGTCAGCGCTCCGCCTCCCGTCCCGCGAAACGAAGCGGCACGCTCTCCGCCTGCGCGGCACCGCGTGTCGCAGGGGCCGCCGCCGCAGCACGTGAAGCAAAGTGCCTGACTCACCACCCACCAAACCACCCCAACCCAACCCGAAGGCTCAGATTTACCCTCGATTTCCAGTGGGGGGGGGTTCGGGAAACATCGAAAAAACACACGTGGAACCCTTACCCCCCCCCCAACCCGAAATTCGGGTCTTCGGGTTGGGTTGGGGTGGTCTGGTAGGTAGTGCCTGACCGCGTCGCGGCGTCGGATCTCAGAGTCGGCAGTACCCATCGTCGGGACCGGGCCGGAGGCCCGCGCGCGCGGCGCCGCCGGAGCCTGCCACGCCCCCGGCCCCTGGCGAGCTCGTGCCGGGTCGGACGACAGGGGGGGTCCTTCGGCATGCAGACGTGCAGCGCCTCGGCAAGCATCGGGACGGAGGTGTTCCTCCAATTGTCGGCCTCGTTGGGGCCCCTACCGGGCCCCAGGACCGTCGCGAAACAGCTCGGGGATGGCAAACCGGCCCTGGCAAGAGGGTCGGGACTTCCAGGGGCTACGCATCAACAAAAGTCACAACACCGCATGTCAAGGAAAAGGGGGGGGGGCAGGGGGGGCCGATCGGGCCGATTGTCCCAGGACCCGCGGAGGGCTCGGAAGCCGGAGAAGTTGCTGTGACCGCTCCAACGGATCGAATCCATTTTAATGCGTTGACATCAACGCTACGTGGTTGGATGCGCTGACGTGCTCGCTGAGTCCTACAGCAGGACGGAATTGGGAACAGAACCGAAGAGGGTGAACAAACATTTAGGACCCTTGCCCTCCAGGAGCCCCTATCGTCTGGCCCGATCCTGCCGACCGCGGCGGATCTTAACCCAATCACTCACTGCGTGGAGATCCCCATATGTGCATCTTTTTAAAAGGATGATTGTCAGTGGGATCTGGGAATGCGCGTCTAGCCATGCAACGCAACATGCGAGTATCATGTTGAGACATCCCCACAGAACGCCCACGAACGGAGCCTTGAAAACACCCTTAGCGGCTCCCCCTAGGGGTGCTGAAACCAGCGCCCCGCCTGAGACATCCGCACAATCTACTCTGGTAGCCAAGGATGTTGAGACAGAAAACAATCAAACCGCTTGAGACATCCCCACAAAACGGCCGCGAACGGGACCGTGAAATCACCCCTGGCGGCTCTCATTAGGGGTGCTGAAACCAGCGCCCCGCAATTCTGAGTATGAGTTAGTTTGGGTATGAGTGAGTCTCAGCATGATAAGTCTGAGTAGGAGTAGATCAGAGTATGAGTAGGTCAGAGTATGAGTAAGCTTGTGTCTAGTCGCATGAACCTGTCCGCCGTGAATGTCTAGGCGCAAGAGTTTTCGAATTTAAACGGGCTTCAATTGTGACTTTCTGGTCATGAATTTCATTGAGAATGAATTGGAGTGTGAATGAGCCTCAGTAGTACGAGCGCGTCTCTGCGCATGAGCCTGGGTCCTCCTGGGGCCTCCTGGGGCCTCCTGAAACCTACTGGGGCTTCCTGGGGCCTCCAGGAGCCTCTCGGGGCCTCCTGGGACCTCCTAGGGAGGATTCGTGCCCCAGGAGAGGCCCAATATAGTAACAGACGTACATAAAACATTGCGGATTGGAGCCACAGGAGAACGGGGCAAGATATAGGAACACACGTAAAACACCAAGGACTCGTGCCCCGGGAGAGGCCCTACAGGAACATAAGTACACAGGAGAAGGACACACTATAGAAACGTACGTATAACATCAAGGATCCGTGCTCCAGGTGAGGCCCAATATATAGGAGCATACGTCAAACACATGGGACGGGAGCCACTCCTGTTGCTTTCTGAGGCCTCCTGCTCCTGGCGTGGTGGTTCGTCCCCCTCGGCCCCTCCCCTGAGCCTGAGCCCCAGCTCCCCTGGGCCACGCCCCCTTGGAACCGCCCTTCCGTCCAGGCGTCCCAGGGCAGCCCCCCTGGGCCGCCGAACCCTTTATTTTCGTCGTGGTGGTTCGCCCCCCTCGGCCCCTCCCCTGAGCCTGAGCACCAGCTGCCCTGGACCCCCCCCTTGTGACCTCCCTTCCGTCCAGGCTTCCCAGGGCAGCCCCCCTGGGCCGCCGAACCCTTTATTTTCGTCGTGGTGTTTCGTTCCCCTCGGCCCCTCCCCTGAGCCTGAGCCCCATCTCCTCTGGGCCACCACCCCTTGGAACCACACCTCCGTCCAGGCTTCCCAAGGCAGCCCCTCTGGGCCGCCGAACCCTTTATTTTCGTCGTGGTGGTTCGTCCCCCTCGGCCCCTCCCCTGAGCCTGAGCCCCAGCTCCCCTGGGCCACCCCCCCTTGGAATCGCTCTTTTGTTTCGGCCACTTGTTTTCGGCCGCCTAGGGCGCAACCTATGGCGCAACCAATATGAGACGGCTTCAATGTCGGTTGCCGAGGGCGCAACCTATGGCGCAACCAATAGGAGACGGTCCGTCGCCGAGGGCGCAACTTGTGGCGTTACCAATAGGAGACGGTTTTATTGTCGGTTGCCGAGGGCGCAACCTATGGCGCAACCAATGTGATGCGGTTTTATATTCGGCCGCCGAGGGCGTAACTTATGGCGCAACTATCGGTCGCCGAGGGCGCGACATGTGGCGGAACCAATAAGCAACGGTTTTATTAACGGCCGACGGTGAGGAACACGAGTAGTACGAGCACGAAGCCGACGATTAACGACGCCGAAGGCGACGACGCTAATTACGGCGACGACGGCGACGGCGACGGCGACAGCGACGAAGGAAACGACGACGACGATGACGACGACGACGACGACTGCGGCAACGGCGGTGGTGGCGGCGCACGCGGTTGCTGCGACGACGACGGCGGCGACGAGGACCGCCGCCACCACCACGACACCAAAGGCGACGACGGACACACCGACTCCGCCAAGATTAGTGGGATATTTAAATGCGTGCGGGGCTACGCCCGATGTATGCTCGCCAGTTGGGTTGGCGGTGGGGCCCAAGCGGCGAGCTGCCTTGTGATTGCCATGTTTCAGTTTTCTTCCAAAATCCGAATGTAGGAGGACATGCCCGACCTGAGGCTGGGGCAGTGGCGCGTCTCGGACGGTACGGTAGGGGCGTCCCGCACGGAATGTGCCCAGGAGGCTTCCGCCCTTGGAGGAGTCTTTCTCCGATCAGGGCGGCGGTGATATCCAGGGCCAGGTCTGCGATTGGAGTTCCACCAGCTTCCAGACCCTGGATTCTTGATCCAGCGGTTCCTCATCCAATGCCATCACCGCGTTCCCCCTCGCCTCATGTGTTCAATACACGCCCTGGCCCGCCCCTCCCTCCACCCTTCGTCCGCGCACATGCCTCGGGCAACGATGCGCTGCCCCCCTCCTCCTGGCTCACCTCCTCGGCGCACCCGAGGACAGTCGAAGACCAAGATTCGGCACACACCTGATTTCTCGGAGGCCCGCGCGGACCAGGTACCTCTAGGCGGAGGAGGCCTTTATTGCCGCCCCGAGGACGGGCACCAGGGGCGCAAGCGCGCGGCGTCGCGCGCGCCGCAGCGCTGACGGCGCCCGCGCGGGCGCGCCACGCACGGATGCTTTACCGCGCGGCGCCCTGGGGCGGAGGCCCGCTTCGGCCCGACTTCGGCCTCACGCCACCAGCTGGGGCTTGCAGGAGGCGAGGGTGCCACCTGCTCCTCCCCCTCCTCTTCTTCCTCCTCCTCCTCCTCCTCCTCCTCCTCCCCCTCCTCGTCCCTTCGAAGAACGAAAAACTGCACAAGCATGATTCCTCCAAGAGTCTGGTGTTAGCGTTTGCTTTACAACAACGAAAAGACTTTCGGAGGTCCGCGCGGATCTCTTGCATCGGCGCTGGGCGCCTCTGGCGGAACCTTTGGCGGGATCCGCGCGCCAGTAGGGTGGGGGGGATCCAGCGCCGATCAAAAAAATCCGCGCGGGCCTCCAGCTGACGCCCAGATATTTCATTCCCTACCTAGGCTCTGCCTAGAAGGGTTCTTACTCTCTAGCTTAAAGGGGCCGGGCAGTGCTACACGCCCCGGGCGGTTCCCCCAGTCCCCGCCCCGCGGTTCCCCCAGTCCCCTGGGAGCTTTAGCCTTAGCTTTAGCTTGAGCTTAGCTTTAGCTTTAGCTTTAGCTTTAGCTTAGCTTTAGCTTAGCTTTAGCTTAGCTTTAGCTTAGCTTTAGCTAAGCTTTAGCTTAGCGTTTGATTAGCTGTAGCTTAGCTTTAGCTTAGTGTTAGCTTAGCGTTAGCTTAGCTTTAGCTTAGCGTCAGCTTAGCTTTAGCTTAGCGTTAGCTTAGTGTTAACTTAGCTTTAGCTTAGTTTTAGCTTAGCTTTAGCTTAGCTTTAGTTTAGCTGTAGCTTAGCTTTAGCTTAGCTTTAGCTTAGCGTTAGCTCAGCTTTAGTTTAGCTGTAGCTTAGCTTCAGCTTAGCTTCAGCTTAGCTTCAGCTTAGCCTTAGCTTTAGCTTTAGCTTTAGCTTAGCTTTAGCTTAGATTTAGCTTAGTTGTAGCTTAGCGTTAGCTTAGGTTTAGCTTAGCTTCAGCTTAGCTTCAGCTTAGCTTCAGCTTAGCTTCAGCTTAGCTTCAGCTTAGCCTTAGCTTAGCTTTAGCTTAGCTTCAGCTTAGCTTTAGCTTAGCGTCAGCTTAGTGTTAGCTTAGCTTTAGCTTAGCTATAGCTTAGCTTTAGCTTAGCTTTAGCTTAGCTTTAGCTTAGGTTTAGCTTAGCTTTAGCTTAGCTTTAGCTTAGCGTTAGCTTAGCTTTAGCTTAGCTTTAGCTTAGCTTCAGCTTAGCTTTAGCGTAGCTTCAGCTTAGCTTTAGCTTAGCTTCAGCTTAGCCTTAGCTTAGCTTTAGCTTAGTTTTAGCTGAGCTTCAGCTTAGGTTTAGCTTAGCTTTAGCTTAGCTTAGCTTTAGCTTAGCTTTAGCTTAGCGTTAGCTTTAGCTTTAGCTTAGCTTTAGCTTAGCGTTAGCTTAGCGTTAGCTTAGCTTTAGCTTTAGATTCAGCTTAGCTTTAGCTTAGCTTTAGCTTAGTGTTAGCTTAGCCTTAGCTTAGCTTTAGCTTTAGAGTTAGCTTTGCTTTAGCTTAGCTTTAGCTTAGCTTCAGCTTAGTGCTAGCTTAGCTTTAGCTTAGCTTTAGCTTAGCTTTAGCTTAGCTTCAGCTTAGTGTTAGCTTAGCTTTAGCTTAGCTTTAGCTTTAGCTTAGCTTTAGCTTAGCATTAGCTCAGATTTAGCTTAGCTTTAGCTTAGCTTCAGCTTAGCTTTAGCTTAGGTTTAGCTTAGCTTTAGCTTTAGCTTTAGCTTAGCTTTATCTTAGCTTTAGCTTAGCTTCAGGTTAGCTTTATCTTAGCGTCAGCTTAGCTTCAGCTTAGCCTTAGTTTAGCTTTAGCTCAGCTTTCGCTGAGCTTCAGCTTAGCTTTAGCTTAGCTTTAGCTTAGCTTTAGCTTAGCTTTAGCTTAGCTTTAGCTTAGCTTTAGCTTAGCTTTAGCGTAGCTTTAGCTTAGCTTTAGCTTTAGCTTTAGCTTAGCTTTAGCTTAGCTTTAGCTTAGCTTTAGCGTAGTTTCAGCTTAGCTTTAGCTTAGCTTTAGCTTAGCTTCAGCTTAGCTTTAGCTTAGCTTTAGCTTAGCTTTAGCTTAGCCTTAGCTTTGCCTTAGCTTAGCTTTAGCTTAGCTTTAGCTTAGCTTCAGCTTAGCTTTAGCTTAGCTTTATTGTTACTACTAATGCTGCGTTCCTAGGGGCTCCAACTCCTAGGTAGGGTCGCACTGGGATAATTGTTTATACGCGCGGTTCCCAATGCAAGCAACTCGATGGGCGGCGTGAGCGTCCTGCTTGCCATGTCTATGCGCTTTGTTGGTGCCTCTGTCCTCCCCCAGCCACCTCCCCTGGCTTAAAAGCGGCGGGTGCTGGAGGTCAGGGGTCCTGAAAGTCGTTCCCCGCTTTCGGGCCCTTGGGCCCTCCCCGGGCCCCGAGACCGCCAAAAACGATTCGGGATGAAGAAGAGCTGGACCTGGCGAAAGCCCTGGGAGCTAGGACAGGCCTCCCTCGGGACCATTGTCCAGCGTGGCGAGTTGGACTTTGTAGTTTCTCTGGAGCTGTCTGGGTCCCTCGAGTCTTCCGCAGCCTGGGGCAGTGCACTCCGCACCCATATCGCGGCGAACGTGGGCAACCTCGCCTCAGGATTCCCCCCTCGGCCAGCCGCATGCAGCCCGTCGCAGCGCTGGACCCAGTGACGCTGGGAGTCCGCTCTTGCCGTTGCCCTCCCTCCTTCGGTGTCTGTCACAGATGATTGCGCGGGCCGGGCTGCATCGGAAAAGCCGCGTATCTCGTGTGCGTGTTGCGCACGCGCACGAGTTAGATACACCTCACGTGAGTTGCTTCGCCGGGCGGTACTCGCTACAGGGGGGGCAGCAGCGCACGTGTCAGCAAGGCAGTCGCCTCCCCTCGCTTTAAGACGTTTGACATGCATGCAAGTTGCGTAGTGGTGCAATGCGTGGGCTTCATGTCTGATTAATTTGAGACTCTGGGAGGCCACATTGGGCCTGCGTGCGTAAGGCGGGCGCGTGGGGTCGCTAGGCGTGCGTAAGAAATGTACGTTGACATCCTATGCGGTAGTGCTTTGCAGCATGCCTAAACGAGTGTAGCGTGGTCGTGTTGAGTACGGTCGTTTTGGGTATTGTCATCTAGGATGTGCCTAAACGAGCTTCGAGCGGTGGTGCCTTTTAAAAGAATTATGGAGAGCCCTATGCGATGCGATGTCGCAGGGCTGCGCGTCTGGAAGCGACGGATCCTGCAGTCCACCGTGCGTGCAGTGTGCACCGCCTTCGAGGTGTGAGGGTGCGCGGTATCAGTGAAGCGGTAGAGTGTGCAGCTCAAGTGAGCGACAGAAGAACGCGAGGTCGATTGCGTCGACATCCGCGCGTAAGCGTTCCGCGTATGGTCGCGCGTAAACGTTCTGCCTTCACGTGGCGTGTCACGCCGGCGGCCCGCGTAAGCCACGGCGTAGGGTAGCAATGCCACCATGCCTAAGACCCGTGTCTTTTCGTTGCGCAAGTCGTGCGCGAGTCTTTCGAGGCGGTCGTCCCATCTGATCGGAGTGCGCATGCGCGTGCGTGAGGCTCCGTGCGTGTCCGTGCGCACTGCGCAGGTTGCAGGAGTCAGGAACGGCCCATTTCAGACGTAAGGGTGCTCAGTCAACGCCAGGCGTAGTCAACATAAGCCGTAAGAGTGGATGAATCGGCCACCACCTTGCATTATGCTTGGCCTTCTCGTCTCGTGAGCGTCTCTGATGCCTCGCAGGATGTGGCCATTGTATCCTCGCCGCCTGCCCTTCTGATCTTTCAGGACTACGCGAGTGGGCCCTTCTGCAGTCGGGGGCCAGCAAGAATGACATGCAAAAGTCGCATAATCACGGTGGCCCTCGTCGGACCAGGCCACCCCGGCTGCGTTGTACGGATGTGCCAACGGAAGTTGCGAGCAACGAAGCGAAACATTCCAGGGGCAATTTCGGGGGTGCATCCTGGGGCCGAGGAATCGCGCTCGGTTTCTAGACCATTTGTTCAAGAGGCTTACGCCATTCTGCCGACTTCCCAACGGTGGATGGATGAATGGATTGGCCAATGTAATCCGTTTCTCTTCTCGTATACCCAGCAGCCCATCCAGGCGATCGGCCGTGAGCAGAGAAGTAGAGAAGCAGACAGTGAAACGACAAGTCCAACAACCCTTAATTTGGAGACCTTCGGGAGCCTCTTGGAGCCATCTGGGAGATATGTTGGGGTCCATTCGGGACCATTGGATGGCCTCGTGGGGGCTTTAGGAGGTGCCCTCCTTGAGGCCGTGGGGGGAGCTCCTGTGGGATCCATCTTGGAGGCAATGGGCCCAACAAGAAGTTCATAAGTTAGAGTTCCCCGTTTTGAGCCCACAAGTTCGCCTCGTTGGGCCCTGTTGGGTCGCTGTCGGGGCGATTGGGGGGGCGCCTCGGGGGATCATTGAGAGGCACCGTGGCCACTTGGATCCGTCTTGACCCCCAGTGGCCGCGCAGGAGCTCTTCTGCAGCCCTCTTGGAGGGCGTCTTCCAGGCGTTGGAGGGTGGATCTAGAGGCCCCGAGGACTTCGAAGGTGCGCTGAGGAGCTCGGCCCCCTACCCCCCAGGAGGTGGGGTGGGGGGGCTCGGGCGGGGGGCCTTCAAAGAGATGTTGGGCCCCTGGTGAGGGGAGACGGGAGTGGGGGTCAGCCGACCGTCCCACACACCCAAACACACACTCACACACGCACACACACAGACAAACACACACACACACACACACACACGCACACACACACACACACGCACACACAGACACACACACACACACACACACGCACACACACACACACACCCACGCGCGCGCGCACGCACGCACGCACACACGCACGCACGCACGCACGCACGCACGCACGCACGCACGCACGCAAGCACACACGCACACACACACACACACACACACGCACACGCACGCCTTCTCACCCCTGGCATGCGGGGGCTGCCAGACTTATTCCCCAGACGTTGGACGGCTCGATGAGTGAGTGCGCGGTGCAGCCACTCGGCGAGCGCGGATGTGGCCACTGGCTCGGCAGTAGCAGTAGCAGTAGTATTATTAGTAGTAGTAGTAGTAGTAGTAGTAGTAGTAGTAGTAGTAGTAGTAGTAGTAGTAGTAGTAGTAGTAGTAGTAGTAGTAGTAGTAGTAGTAGTAGTAGTAGTAGTAGTAGTAGTAGTTAGTAGTAGTAGTAGTAGTAGTAGTAGTCGTAGTAGTAGTAGTAGCCGTCGTAGTAGTAGTAGTAGTAGTAGTAGTAGTAGTAGTAGTAGTAGTAGTAGTAGTAGGAGTAGTAGCACCTGGTCTTCGTGTCGCTACAAACCTCACCTTCGTGTACTCTTCTTTTGTATCAGGCCTAATAGAACTCCTACCAGGGGAATTACGAAAACCGTAGTTTCAAACCTGGCCTTCGTGTCTTTCGCGCCAATGCCTACCTTCGTGCACTATTCGCTGTAGAGGCTGTAGATTGGATTCGTATTAGAAAGTGAACAAAAAACGGCAGTTTTACACCTGTCCTTCGTGTCGACGTCGGATTTGGAGCAACCGCCACTGCCAGCCGCTTCATTTCGGCACAAACCTCTCGAGGATCGTGGGCCTGGCCCTCCGACGCGCGATTCCGGCGCGCACTTCACTAGGATCGTGGCCCTGGTCCAAGTGGGAGCGCTGCCGAAGGCCCACCGACGTCCAATTCCGGCACGCCGCTCACGAGGATCGTGTCCTGGCCCACCTGGGAGCGCTGCCGACGGCCCACCGATGAGCAATATCGGCGCACCCCTCACACGGATCGTAGACCTCGCCACATTTGGATCGCCGCCCGACGCTGAAGTTCGGCACACCTCTCACATGGATCGTGGCCCTGGCCCAATGTGGAGCGCTGCCGACGGCCCACCGACGCCCAATGCCGGAACACCCCTCACGAGGATCGTGGCCTCTGGTCCACT